TTTTAAATGTATTTAAACCCTATTAAGAGGGAAAAAACATGTGCCTTCACTGCAAAATGCACCAACCAAGTTCTCTCCGATCCAATCGGATATTAACAAACTAGTAGCCATGAATCAGAAAATGCTAAACCAAACTGACACAAGATGAAATGATGTGAGCTGTCCTTATTGTTTTTCTGGATGTTGACCTCTCAGTAAAATATCTTTCAGATGGGATTTTATATCCATCAAAACAAAAAATGGAGAAACCTTTACTGGGAATCAGATATTTGGTTCTTCTCTAACAAAGATTAACACTGAGTCAAATTATAACTCTTTACTTAAAGTTCAGCAAAAACAACTCTTTTTGAGGATAATACTTTTCTTTCCAGAATTGTTTTTTTTCCTAAAGATCTACAACGGTTTCAGATTCCTCATCAACAGTTCCAAAAACCTGCATTATTAGCTCTAGCTTCTCTGACTCTGGTGTTTGACATCATTAGTAGGGGAAAGTACTGTATCGGCGTGGGTTTTGCGATACAATACATGTCACGATACTTGGGTCACAATACGATATTATCACCATATTGCCATATCACCATATATTGCGATATTTTTCTTGCTATCACTCCACCACACAGCTAAAGGGCTCCACAGCACCATCTGCCAGAGTGGCGGTACAAAGCTAGCCTATTTTCCCTCAGTTTCATGCAAAAATGTTTTATTTAAAAAAAAAAATGCTAGGAACTAAAAGATCGATATTATATCAGGCAGCCAAAAATCACTATATATTGCCAAAACTATTTCTTTCCACACCCCTAATCATTAGGCTGATACTGACTTATGCTGGTAGGTCAAATCTGATTTACATCCACTTCCGAGAGGAACCATGAAACTAATTTCCTCATTCTTAGAAAGAATCGCCCTGATATTCACTTTTGCAGGTCCACAGTGATCACTTCTGTTCTCCTTGTCTCTATTATGTCATATAGGTCCTCCCTTATTTTACACCAGGTGACCAAGGTAATCATGATATAAAAATTCACTTTATGGGAATTTACCTTTTGTAAAAAAGGAGGATCTGGGCAAAGTTTTGCATTGCATATTTAGAGTTTATAAATCTTGCAGTTTTTTTTATATAATTGGTGCATTTGTTAAAAATGATACCTCTAATTATATACTGCAAGGCTCATCTAGTTATCCTTCTGGGGAAACTGGTATCTAATGTCATAATACTTATTTAAACTATTTTCTACCAATAACAACATGTGCAGCAGTCTAGTGTCAACTCAGCTCCACTGGTGACCGAAGTGGTTAAAGGACTGAATTAATATGATGCTTTTCTAGTTATATTAACCAATCCAAGAGCTTTAACAGTATCCGCTTCCTTCAGTCATTCAGGAAATGCACACTTTAAAACACTGACAGCCAAATCTGTAAGAAACGTATGGTGTTAAAAGTGCCTTGTCTCAAACTTGCAAATAGTTTTCTTTCCTTTGTTCCACAGTCAACTATTGCTTATAGGTGTCAGCTGTATATCTGTTTGATTTACAACAATACCACTCTAGCTTGTGGGCTGAAATTTACCAGCCACTTTGTAAATTCAGTCACATTTGGCCCCAGGAAAATGCAGGTTTCCATGCCTGACTGGACCACATCAAACTGAAAGGTTGTTTTTTATTAAATGGGTCTTAGTTCCAAGCCGAAGATCAGACCATACCATCAGCCAGTACATGGGAGGGGGGATCTGGGGGGTTTCTCCTTCTGTGGCACAAAGGTTCGAAAAAGTGTGCTAAAGTGCCCTCTCGGGAGCAAAACACATGTTTAGGTGCCTTCCTGGGAGCCAAAAGGAACACTAAAGTGAGCTTTCGGGAGCCAAAATGTGTGCATAAGTGCCCTCTTGTGAACCAAAACGCATGCTCGGTTGTCCTCTCAGTAGCCATAACATGGCTAAAGCGCCCTCTTGGTAGCCAAGCACTTGCTAAAGGGAGCTCCTGGAAATGAAAACGCAAGCTAAGATGCCGTCACAGGAGCCAAAATCTGTGTTCAAGTGCCCTTTAGTAAATATTGAATAAAGAAAATACTGGTTCAAAATGAACTGAAATATAGAAGGCAACAAGTGAAAAAGGAACCACCAATGCAAATTGATGAACTGTCCCTTTAAAGTGGGTCATACATGGAGGATATTTTGCCCTTTTCAGGCCGAATATCCAGTTAAGCGAGATTGTATTGGATCGGGCCGAGTTTCAGCCTTATCGTGCGTCCTGCATCATGTAGTATACAGGTGATAACGAGGGGTGTCAAGCTTTGGGGGAAAATCAAACATGTTTGAAATTCAGTCAGGCGCCGTAAGGTGTTCGTGGACAGATCCTGCTGTTGAGGCAGAGCCATGACCATGAACTAGCCGATTTACCAGAACCTTGTGCACTGCGCATTTGCAAAAAAGGGAGTTCTTCTTCTTCTTCTTCTAGATTCACGAGTCCAACCAGCGCAATCTCTCAGCGCTGAGTCCGAGGTGTGGTTTTTGGATGTAGAGTGTTAGCTGTTAGATCGCATTAGAGTGTTGCGCCGTACATTGTAACAACATGCATCGTAAACTGTGAACTTTTAAACCCTTCGGTCGTACAGTTTGAGTTGTAGCTAAGTACAACGACTGAAAATATGGTACAGTGCCCGGCTTGATGATGATTCCATGTGTTCGTAAAAGTAGCCTACCCCAAAACAGTTTAAAAATACATTGAAAAGACAACATGATTTATATGCAAAGGCTGTCTAGATTTTTTTGAAAAGTGAAGATGAAAAAAAATTTCAGATCGTTGAAAAGACGTTGAAACTGGGTTTGCAACATCTTTTCAATGCCTATTATTGGACTAAAGTGGGACAGAATGAGACTGCCCAAACACAGCCTAATTTTCCACAACTATTTCTGGACTATGACAGACCGACCAGATTTGGCCTAAAAACCAATGTCTAAATAACATGTGCTATTTGATGGGTAGGTTTGTTTGCTCTCATTTATTCTGTTTTTTAGGCTTAAAGGGGTCATAGAATGATTCTATAGGGTATTTGGTGCCGGTCCTTAAGGTCTCTGAATACTGGGTGTAACATTGGTCGGGTTGAAAATGGTATAGTTGCTCTTCTATGAGCCCTAATGCAAGCCTGGTTAAAAGCCCTAGAATGAAATGATAGGTTTTCTTCCTTTTATGGTGTGATCATGAATATTAAGATGAGCTTTGCGCTGATTGGTGGTTTACGCATCATAGCAACAAGCACTCACTCACTGAAACATCAAATTGTTGATATGGTAGGGTGACCTGACGTTCTCTTTTTCCCGGACATGTCCTACTTTTCAAACCTAAAAAAATCGTCTGGGATTTTGGTCGACTACAGTGCAGCACATAGTGGAAACACACCAGGCATTCGAATCAAGTCATCAGGTCCTTGGATGATCCATGAACCCGAGGGGCACCGAGCCAGCGGGAGACAGTGCGACAAAACCCGACCCGGTGACGGTAGCCTAGACACCGTGCGGCTCCGTGCTTCTGCCCGCCTGCCTTACCGGCCCCCAGTCCCCCTCCTCCGGCTGAGGACGGTTGGCTCATGGCTCTCTGGTGAGGTCCGGTCCAGTCAGCGGCCCAGCAGTCGACACTTCGTACCAACCCCCCCCTTTGGGCCAGTGAATCAGTGGGCTGGTCTGTATGTCAATTTCAGGGCGTGACAAAAGTACAGGCCAGAACCAAATAAGGCAACATCCCCGAGTTAAGGTCATCTCGGGACTTCGTTTGGATTCGCCCGTTTTATGTTGGAAGTTTAGAATTGTGAGATTAGCAGAGAAAGTAGGTGTTGACGGTGAGCTTCCCTGAACCTCCATTTCACCCACTGAATGATCAATATTAATCTATGACAATGTAAACTCGGTTTTGCATTCTATGACCCCTTTAAAATATATTATAATGTGAATAAAGGAAAAAGAAGGCCTCTGTAAGAACACCTCTCAATAAGGGACCTTTCTCCTCCTCTCTGTTTGTGTTCAACCTGGGCTCATGAGAACAGGAAATGCACCTGATGCAGACAGGTGCATTTCCTGTGATCGTGAGCCCACATTTCTCCATCCCTGAGAATCTTTAAAAATAAATAAATAAATAACTCCTACTTATTGCAAGGATGTGTGAGTATGCGCGTGCACGCAATCAGCAGGAGCCCCACTTCACTAAAGCAGCGCGAGCCTCTAAATGCGGTATGACTCACAGAAGCAGCGCGCGAGCTTCCCTTGCTGCGTTCCTACTGAATGTGAATAAAACACCTCGCTTCTGCTCCGCGCGCCCCAGATAGCCAACACATGCAACTGGAAGACATTCTCCCTGTGAAACACACACTTAAATATCAGCTCTCGCATCCAACCCAACACGGGGCCCCCCACACGCACACGCGCACAAGGGACACACCTCCATTTGACATTGACACATATTTGGCAATGTGGCGCCTGCCCCTCAGCACCTCCCGTTGGGCGAAGAAAACAACAACAAAAAAAGAAACCTCGCTGTAAATAAAACGCACTGAACCGTAAAACAAGCTGGGATAAAGTGTTAAACAGCACAAAGGAAAGGAGGGATGCGGCTGGAAGAAAAGAAATGGAGGAGGGAGAGCTGGGAGAGGGAAAAAGGAGGAGGGGTCTTCCATTTATCACATAAGTTCATGCGGCAAGAAACAAATGTCAATATTGGCCTATATCCTGCCATGCTGCGGCCACTTTACTGAAGCAAAGCTGGAGGAGAGAGAGAGCAACAAAGAGCCCACTGGCTGTGCCACATGTGCGCATCAATAACAGGCGCTCATAAAAAAAAACTGCTTTCTGTAAACACATCATAAATATTGAGAGTGAAATACATTTTAGCGGATCATCTACTTTAAATTGCTTACTATCAAAACAGGATTTACATTTAGAAAAAAAAAAACAATAAAAAAAATCCCTGGTAATATGTTAATATCCATAATAATAAAAAAAGAAAAGAGAAACATACCTTTTAAATTGCAGCAAACCAATAAAATGAACGGTCTCAGGAAATTATATGGCAACTATCGCTCTCCACTTGCTCAGTTTCTTCTTGATCCCTTTTTTTTTTTTTTTTTTTTTGTCAATCCAGTTTTCCCGCGAAGCTGCTGTAATGACACTTTCTCCTCCACCTCTCTTATTTTCCTCTTTATCTCCTCGCTCTCCTGGTGTCGCTTTATTTCTTTCCTGCAGAGGGAAAATTCAGCACCCAGAAAAACATATATGTAGCGGTCAATCAGAAGACAAAACGGAGCCTCGGATTTCATAAAAAAAGGGGGAAGAAAACAAACTTATCTGCCACTAAAATAAGGAGCAAAACTGATCAAAGTATGTTTGTCTGCTGCAGAAACATTTCTAATTATTTTCTAATATGTGTTACTGTTTACATGTTGGACCAGAGTGACAAAAATAGAGCTTTGATAGGAAAAGCCTGGCTTCACTCGCTGATTTCCCCCCTCCTTTTCTCCGTGAAGGTGGTACAGTCCGTCCTTGTGGAGCTCGCGGAGCAGATACCCCCACCTCCCCCAGCGGTGGAGCATTCCCGCCTGGGACTGAGCAGGCAGGTAAACAAACTCACCTGGAGTTCAGATCGAGATGGAAAAGGTTAGTTATAACTGAGGGGTCTAATAAAGGCAGCAGCTCCAACTCTAAATCCACTCCTCTGGAATGTGTCTAATCTGAAGGCTTTTCCTGGGTCAATATCAACATTACAGATGTTCACATCAAAATATTAGGAAGCTGTTAATACTTAATCATTATAATGAAAAAGAAAATAGTGCAAACATTGTTTTTTATTTGTCAGTATTTAATTCTGATTCAATGGCAGCACATTATAAACGTTTACTTTATATCATACATTCGTTTAAAAAAATACAGCTAATACACCCTGTGCTTTCTTTTTTATAAATATGTTACAACCACCCCTCCTTGCAGCTTCAAGTTGGTTCAAATTGATTTACTAACATCCCGCACACATATCCCATCCTCAGAATTTAAAGGTATTGTGGAGGATCTTCAAATAAAAAAAAAAAATCTGCCATCTCCACTTTATAAAAAATGCACAAACACAACCCTGTACCTGCTCCTGCGAGGAAGGAGGGTTAAGCTGATCTTTAAGTGTCCTTGCTCAGTTAGCAGTTTGGGACTGGAGTGGGGTTTCAACTCACAACCTCAGGATTCCAAGCCCTATGCCCTAACCACTAGGCCACCACTCCCCCCAATGAATAAATGAACTCTGAGGAGGAGGACAGACGATCAAGTAAAATGATACGACTGGCATAAAATCAAATACAAACAGCATAAAAATAAAACAACAAGCCGGTCCCATCTAGGTGTAATCGGAGAAAATGAGAGGATCTGATAGGATGAGTCTTGAACTGAATTAACCTGTGTCAGGAGGCACAGATGCACCGACTGATGTAATTGGGAGAGAATACCGCAATTTTCTATATTTTTCAAAATAAAACATCACTCAGACTCTGATCGTCCATAAATTATATATATATATGTACATATATATATATATATATATATATATATATATATTTTTTTTTTTTTTTTTTTTGTTGGACCCACGGACCAGTACCGGTCCGCGGCCCGGTGGTTGGGGACCGCTGTTGTAGAGGGCCACACTGGATTAACGTAGTGATTTCATCAACTGACACGTGCTTCAAAGACTCCAAGCCGCTTCTTGTAATTGCAGTCATCGACTTATTTCATTTGACCATCATTATCCAGACTTTACATTGACTGACACATACTGACCAGGCTAAACCATACTATGATGCCAATAATAAAGCGACAACATAGCACGGTCAACAGAAATTATGACCACCACCGGCTTCCTCATACATACAAAATTCAGTGCGCCAGTATGACTCCCATTCATACCTTAGTGACACTCACGCCCACCTTAGACACACCCACCACCCAGGTGTCAAAGCTGTGTGCTGCTGCCACATCAGTAATTGCTTATTTTGATTATTTGGCTCTTACAGTATGACCACCATTATGGAAAATGATTCTTGAAGATGGACCAGTTAGAAGAGCGAGGTGCGCAAAAACGCTGGGACCCCTTTTTCCACCTGGATCTTTTCTTCCTCATGTTCCTCTGTTGTCACACAAACTTGCCACCACTTCCTCATCGCCTCGGCCGTATCAAGACCCACAGCTATGATTGGTCCTCTTGCGTTGTGGCGTGGAATAACATAGCACAGACCACGCTTCAATATTGGGCATAAATCAAAAATATCTGCGACAAGCTCACTGTGACACACTGCTGTGGGAGGATAACCAGTCCTTAACTCAGAGAGCCAGAGTGGCAGTCCGTGGAAGTAGGTTCCGAACTCACAACTTCAGGATTCCAAGCCCTATGCCCTAACCACTAGTCCGCCATTCCCACACCGTAACTGACCCTTCGGACAGATGATCACTGCTTTATTGTCCCCGTTGGTCACATAACTCCCCCTACATTGCACAGTGCCTGCGCCATCTTTGTTATTACTCACTGCTGTCAAATAACGACAGCCTATGGTGACAGTAGGCTGCCGTGACAGCAAATCCCATAATACATAGCTAGAAGAGCTCTCTGCGCAAAGCATTCTGGGATATATCTGCCACCTCTGACACCTTTCTTTTCCTCTCATACATTTCTTAGACACTTTTTCTCTTACGACCTTCGGCCATTTTCAAAGAATCTCAGAGAAAAAGGTGAATTTAATGACATATGCTTGAAATTGCGCATTGGCCAGAAGAAGGTAGCAAAGTAGCCAAGCAAAGCAAGCACATAGGAGGGCTTTACGTAAACATATTACCAGAATGACTGACAATTAGGAGGACCACTTATTTAGATGATCCACTCGGAAATAAAATATCTATACCTTGGTTTAGAGAGTAATCACCATGGTGAGATTAAAAAAGCTGCCAGAAACCCAAAACTGCTTCAACTTTTCATACTGTACCAGCTGTGAAGCATAGAGTTGGAAGTGTCATGGTTTTGGCACACTTTGCTGCACCGTCATGAATTCTAATGTGTAACCATGCTGGAGAAGAATGTGAAATCTAAAAGGAATTATACCCTGCATTTACACAAACTAGGAAATAAATAATAAACTGGTACTTACAAGTTTTTACTGTAAAACAAAAAAAAAAAGAAAAGATAAATGTGACATATAAAATTCAAGATTTGGAACCATCATTTTTATCTACAGATACAGACTTTGAGCTACAACATGAAGCATGGTAAATAAAAAAAATAAATAAAAATAAATTAACTAAATTTATTGGACCTGCAGTTTGTAAAAAACTAAGTATCTTTTAACTAAAAAGAGGATCTGCATCCACAACTTGAGTACTCACTAATACTAAAGTTGGAAATGATTTTATTCCTGTATGATCTATTACAACCTGATCAAAATTCACACATATTTATTGCTATTATCTGTTTCTATGCAGTGCTGGACTGGGACAATTATTAAATGACTTTGATCAGTCCTGCGGACAAAAACAATCCTGATGTGGAGATTCTTAGAAAGTGCCAGATCAAGAGCTCCATCAGAGCTTTTATCTTCAGCCAGACTTCAGTGGGAGGCCAAAGATTAAACTGGGTAAAGACGAGGCAAACTTAACTGCTATAACCAATGTTTCATATCTTTGTCTTAGCATAATTTCACACTCAATATTACTTTGTTCTTCCTTTATTTTTTATGAGATGTGTTTATTACTTGTATAATAGAGAATACTTAGATAGCACAAGATAATTAGTGGGTAGAGTTTTATCATTAAGTACAGGTTCATGTCACAGCTATCAAAAGTAAAATTATTGTTTTTTTCGACTGAAGTAGAAAAAGCTCCAAGCTGTCCCTACAGGGTCTGTCCCCCCAGAGCCTCTGATTATCTCTTTCAGGAAGCCATTTTCAGTTGGTGGGCCGTGTCGTCCTCAGTGTACTAACAGTGATGCAAGATAAACAAGCTTGACTTCTGTCCTAAGAGATTTTCTGCTTCTTGAAAGGTTAATCTAAAAAAATATATATAGGTTAAAAAGTTATGAGCCTTTATTTCTCTTTAATAAAATTAATTTGAACGGAGATGGAAACTAAAACCATGTGACAACATAAAGGCATCATGTTGTCTCTTTAGACCATGACAGTGTCATTTTAGAAAAAACTTAAAGTCCATGATTTGGTCTTTAAGAAAATTCATCGTTTAAACGTAATAAATGAAAATGATTACAAAGCATGAGAACGCATAAAAGGAATAAAAAAAAAGATTGAGAGGAAAACAGCATTTAATGAATAGGAAGAGAAGAAAACAAAGTCATTGTTAATAGACTGACTTAAAAAGTCAAAAGTCAGTTTAACTTCTTAATCTCCTGTCTTTGCTGAACTCATGATGGTCCAAATGTGTCATGTTTGGCTTAAGGTTCCTAACCCACATGCAGAACACACTGAGGCTGGAGAAAAGTTCAAAGGTTTATTGAAATAATTCTGTACAAGGAATAAACACATCCAGGGGTTAATCAGATCCAGGACTGGTCACGAGTGGGTTCACTGCAGAGGGGGACAGAGGAGTTAGTGGATGTCCAGGTAATTTGCAGGATGTGAGTGAGCAGGGCAGTACCTGTTCTGGAGTTTGAGCTGAGCGGCTGAGGGGGGGAACCTTGAGGGACCAGAGGCTGTCAGCAGGCTGAGGGCTTGGCGGAGGCAGAGCTTGGTTTGAGTGTTTGCAGATCACAGATTTGAGTTTCCCTTCCAGATTCTTCAGAGAGCGGGCAGGCAGGTCTTAGACAGGAATGATTCTCCAGGGTTCTTCAGAGATCAGACAGGCAGATTTCCAACAGAGAAACTCTTCAGGGTTTCTGGTTTCAGGCAGGTTCAACCTGGGAAGCAGAAAGGAGAAATCAGATCAGGGAGTCAGAGATTCAGACAGGCAGGTTGGCTCAGGCTTGCTAACCGTAACTGGCAAACACTCTGGCATTGGAGTGTTAGTCTCCTCCCCCTTAAGTAGGCCCAAGGCTGATGAGGAGATTAAAGACAGGTGTTGCAGGTAGGCACAAGCCCTCAGGAAGGGATCCTTGGCGCCCACTGGTGGGCAAGCCTCTAGATCCCAACAGACAGCAGAAGCCCTCAGAAAGGGATCCTCGGCTCCCTCTGGTGGGCAAACCTCCGGATCCCAACAAAATGGGGATTATTTATTAACGGTTTGTGATAATTTCTCTACTTGTGTAGCTCTTTAACCTTAGTAATTCAGCTACCTC